TATTGACATAGATAATTTTGTAATTATTATTGTATGACTTTGGGAGCCTTTCACATTGTAAAAACATTTTTCGAATTGCATGCTGGTTATTGATTGTTGTAAAATCTATAGCTCTCGTTCTAAACTAAATTGACATTGCAAATGTAATAACAATTTTTCAAAATAAACACATCTTGTAAAAAAAAGGAACAGTACAACAATAATACAATATTACACGATAACTCCATTGTTTAAAAAATAATATAATAATAATATGCAAGCTAATTCTACCCAGTTAAAAAATAACATAATAATAATATGCAAGCTAACTCTACCCAGTTAAAAATAATATGATAATAATATGCAAGCTAACTCTACCCAGTTAAAAAAAAGTAATAAGAAGCCACTAGGAAGAACTATAAATTTCAACCCCAACACAATAAAAACACCCACCGCCAATATTATTGCCCTGATAGCCAAACCCAGGTCCACCTTGATTGTTGTTGTTGTTGTTGTTGTTGTTGTTGTATCCGTTGTTCTGAGTGTTGTATTGGTCAGGGTAGCTCGCCGTACCCTCGTACCTGACATCCGCGTGAAAACCCGTCCTCCAATCGGCAGTATAAGTGACTATTTGCGTCCTACCATCGGGTAGTTGTACTCTGTACTCGCCCCGTACAGTTTCACCGTCGCTGCTCTCTCGTCTTCCAAAATCGTTTCCGGTCGCCTGGTCCTTCACCGCATAGCCAAACTCGTAGGACATCGGCTGCAACAAGGTCGCGATAACAACCGGACTGGCATTAACATCTTCTGCATTCATTCGATTTCCATTCGACTCGTGTTCGGTTAAGCAATATTGTATATTCGTTGTGTTATTAGATTCGTTGTGTAAACTATGGTATAACAACGTAACGGGTGAGTGAAAAAAAAACGATTTGAAATTTCGTTTGCCACCAGCGATTGCATGCGATTTTGGCGACAAGAAGTGAAAAATGTCCTGTATACAATGTAGTGTATTATATGTTGAACAATAGTATATAATTTATTATATTTTGAAGAATATTATAATGTATTATATTTTGAACAATATTATAAATGCATTATATTTTTAAACAATATAGTAGACTATACATTGACCAAGAAGATTTAAAATAATATTATCCAAGGTTGTCTATTTTATACATAAATAAGGGAATCAAAGATGGCAATAAGGAAAGTATAAAATATTTTTATTATAAATAGAGAAAATATTACGAAATTTCATTTCGTTTATTATTTCATTTATTATTTCGTTTATTATTTCGTTTATTATTTCGTTCATTATTTCGTTCATTATTTCGTTCATTATTTCGTTTATTATTTCGTTTATTATTTCGTTTATTATTTCGTTTATTATTTCGTTTATTATTTCATTTATTATTTCATTTATCTCATTCATTTACACTTGATAAAAAAAAGTTCTAAAAACGGAGGAGATTATAATTTAGAATAAACAGAAATATCTCTAGTTAGCAAAGTGAAACGAATCTCTCCGCGTTCAGTGGCGGAAACGTAGCGATCAATTCTGAATCGTTAGCCCGTTTTCGCGGCAGCTAATTAACGCAACCGAAAACTTTTAATCGCGCGTTTGCGTCATCGGTTTCAGGAGACGCCGCACCGCACCGCGCCGCGCCGCTCGGCAACGAGGATCATCGATCATCCACGAGATCATCGCCGTTACAGCCAAAGGATTTACAAGCCGGTCCGGGGAAAAATCTCTGCTTCTGGTGTACGCGACGCGTTACGTGGCCGCGCTTTCTTCCACGATGAAGACGAAGAAGAAGTGGAGCAGACGCGTTCCAAGATGGCGATTTAATCTGGCTCGCGGCCGCAGCCCCCGGGACACGTCCGGCGACTTATGCGAGCGCGCATAATCGGGACCGTTTAGATTCCCAGGACGATTAGCTAATCGGCAGTAACGATTCGCCCGTAGATTACGCTTGCGGTCGCATCATGCGGTTCACCCTATTAATATTCTTGCGCCATTTCGCGGCTCGCGACGCGCGGCGCGCCGCCACCGCCGCTATAACACGATTAATGTGTAGCACACGATCGACGACACTTCCGCCGCCCATTTTCGGCAGAATCGGATCTTCCCGAAAAATCGTGTTTCGAGTTTTACGAAAAATGTTGATTCACTTTTATCGCGTTTGAACTTTTTTGTTTTGGAAAAGACGGCGGATCGGCTGCTTTGAAATTTTTGTACGTGGTTTCCGGAGGGATTAGCATTGGACAAACATTTTTGGAACGTCATAGTAATCGTTATTGATTATTGAAGCAGCCAAGGAACTTCGTTTTATTAAAAGCTTGTCGGGGAGCTATTCGAGTTTCAGAGCATCTACTCGAATTTTTTTTTCGGGAATATGGCGAACTGTTTTTTGAAATAATATTTTCCGGTAGTATTTTTAGTAGTATAAAAAGACATTTTCGGAATGTCATACTAATGTTTTTTGATTATTATAGGGTCCATGGAGTTTCATAATGTTAGTTGCTTGAAGAATTATTCTTGTTTGGAGCATCTTTTCGTATTTTTTTTAGAGGATACAGTGAGTGTACATATTTTTAAATTTTTTATTTAAATTTTAAGTTTTTAGAATGTCATACCGACTGTTATTAATTATTGTAGAAGCTATGAAGTTTACTAATGCTCAAAACATATTCGAGGGTTATCCTAATCTCCGATTTTTTTAAGGAAAAACAAAGGACGAATATTTTTTTAAATTATTGCATCTGTTTTACGGTGGCTTCGACGCTGTAGATACATTTTTTGAATTTCATACTAATCGTTTTTTATTATTCTAGATGACGTAGAGTTCACCCCCCCCCCCCCCCCCTCTTTTT